AAAAAAAAAAAAAGAAAAGAAAAGAAAAGAAAGAATCCTTTACATGATATTGGAAAGGTAGGTTAAGGAAATAAAAAGAAAAATACCCAAATTAGATTTGGATTTTTACTTTAATAGCCTGAGAAAGGATAATTAGTCAAATGAAAGAAAAAAATGCTTCTAAGACATTAAGTACCTGGGCTACCTTCTATAAGGAAAATTTAATCAGTGATCATCATTAAAATTTTTAAAATCTTTCTATAGAAACTGTTGTAAAAATAGATGCACATGGTTTATTCACAACTACTGACTTTGCATGCACATGAATGTGAACTTACAAATTTCAAAGATGACTATTCATGATTAGGTACCAGATACAATGATATACTGCTCAAAATTCCTGCAAGAATTTAAAAGTACCCATCAGCACAGAAAATCGCAGGTCAATCAGGGCTATAAAATCAAGAAAATCTATCATGATGAGAAGTTACTGAGTCGTTTACATAACCTGAAAATAATAGAGGAGCTGGGGGCTAAATATGTAAAGATTTTAGTTGATCGATAAAGGACAGAAATGCAAAGGGAGAAAACCAATTTCAAACATCTCCCTAAAGATTGAGAAGATAAAATCTATACCAATTAATGCCAGGCAGAGGTTAACATATTTTAATTGTTCTCATAGAGTGGAACGTACTCCTGAAAGATGTGCTTAATATGGTATGATCAATTCCACCATAAGTATGTCTGTTCTAAGAGAACAGAATAAATGTTTACAGAAAATGATTTCTTCCAGAGTTTAGAATATTTGGCAGTGCAATGAAACAAACACATGTTCCAGACAATAAGAGAGTGAAAAAGAAAGTAGCAAGATATCAATAATATCAAAATATCATTCATAAAATAAAACAATACTATTAATATAAATAATTTTATCACAGAAGGAAACAGGACAAAAATATTCCTTTTAATGCTTATAAAACAATAACTTCAGTAATGAACACAATTTTCTCATTGAGGAACAGGAAAAAGTCATTTCATTTAGTGTGGAAATAAATCATCTTCTAAGTTCTGGAAGAAGGGTTAAACCCCTCAAATTATAAGCTTAGTTGCATATATAAAACTTGCCTGTTAACAGCACATCACTAAAAATTGGTCCTACAGAAAATGTATAATCAGAAAATCCAAAAGGGGAAGGCAATTCATTATATAGACTGCCAGGTAGAAAAAAAAAGGAAAACAAATAATGATTTTATGATTCTTACTAAAATTGTTAATTTTGTTAGAGGTTCAAAAAAGAAAGTATTATACTTCTACTTTTGTCACAATAGATTATATTTTCCTTTCAGAGGCAAATAAGTATACATGTACAAGGGAGCTAAAAATCTGTCCATTGCAAATCTGGAGGGTATTACTGGTATCCAATAGGCTAGGTTTCGCAACAATGACTTGACAAAACCTTGACACTAAAAGTACTTATATTTGCTGTCAATCACTCACTCCTTGACATGTCAAGTACACATCCTTTCAGGGACAACTTCAATCAACATTAGCACTCAAAACAACAGTACATAGTGTCACTGCTTCAGAAATGAGAGGAAAAATAAAATGTGTTAGGAGGCAGGGAAAGGCAGAATGACATTCCCCTTTACAGGAGACCAGATTCAAATGGAAAGTATAAAACAATCACTTAGCAAGTTGGAAGGCTGGAATCAGCCAGTTTATATGGATTTCTTCTTCTGGGAAAAATATTCTCTTACTATACATCCTACAACAGAAAATTTAAACAACATATCATAGAAGCTGACAGGGGTCTATCCTGTAATGAACCTTGAATCTTTGGACCAGGCTTGCATGCCAGATTATTATAATCTGGGAAATAAAAATTTGGGGAGGGAGATATACGTAGACGTGGTTCTAAGACATAAAAAGAATATGAAGCAATTTTACTTGCTACTCCATTAGTCTTCCTTTTTTTCTTTCCTTTTGATACTGGGTCTCCCTTTCACTCCCCCACCCCCCTCATTCTCTTAGGGAAGCAGAATGAAACAGCCTGGGGTCTGGAATCAGACAGCCCTTGTTAGTTCTGTAAATTACTACTGACTAGTTCTATAATGGGAGCTCCGGTAGTATAGTGCCTAAGGCACTTGACTGTTAACCAGAAGGCTGGTGGTTCAAACCCACCAGCCACTCCTCGGAAGGAAGATGGGGGACAATCTACTTCTGTAGTGCTACTGTCTTGGAAACCCAAGGAGGGGTCACTATGAGTCGGGTCCGACTTGATGGCATATAACAACAACAACAGCAGCAGTTATATGATAACTTTTGGTAAGTCTCTTGCATATGTTTAAATATATTCAATAACTCATACTTTACAGGGTTTCTGTAAAGACTAAATGACATAATATTTGTACCTAAAGCATCTAACAGTAATTGGCACAAGGAAGTATGTAATATATGCCTGTTTCCCTTCTGATTCTTTGCTTTTGACTTGGCAATAGCATCTGTGCACCTTTCTCAGCCTCACTGAGGGAATTCAAGGGAAAGATGTTGATACTGCCTACAGAACACTATACAAGGATATCCAATCAGACTGTAAGGTCATTTATTTTACACAATTTACTTGTCTCATTTTGATTGTTATAGTCTTCCCACTGTCAGGTATTAGTCATGTGTCAATCTAGCGTTTGTCAACTGCAACAAAGCACTGTTAACAAATTCTTGGTGGTGTGGGTGAGGGAAGAGAGGAACTAGAAAAAAATGAACATTTTGGTAGAACTCATTGTTTGTAGGCTACGGAATACACAAAAAGAATATACTTTGGAGGCATTACACAAGCTCAGGCCCTAGCAGAGTTTATAAAAAGTGACAAAGAGAAAAATTATCAAAAGCACTTCTACTCTGGTTATTGCCAATTTTCCTTACTAAGACCTGTTAAGCCATAAAAGCTAAAGAAACTGGATATTTTAGGAGGAAAAAGAAAAGAAAAAAAAAGACACACAAACCCTAATTTAAAAAACAAACAACAACAAGAACAAAAACACAATGTGAGGATTGATATAAACAATGCTTTGGACTTATTTTAAATGTCTTTCACTAAAATAACTGCTTTCAATTACTCATGGACAAGCCCTGTATTTGAAGAGGATTATTTTTTTCTGCTGACTCCATTCACTTCACAGGCTTCACACTCCAGTAGAATTAAAAAGACCAGTGGCCTTGTGTGTATGCCCTACCCAAACAGGAGGTAAGATTTATGAAGTACAGGAAGAATATGCTTCTCTACTGAAGAAGGCATATTTCTATTTTTGCCAAGTTCAATAGATAATTGAGTATATAGAACTTGTATACTTTTCTCTCTTTCAATTGGTATCCTTGCCTTTTTTTGCCCTTTATTACACGTGTTATTAAACTTTAGAGCCAAGAACTGGCAAAAGCCACAAAGCATTCATTCCCCTAGAGATCTGAAGAGAAAATGAAACATTTTTATTTTCATCTAAAGTAGTGATTTAAGTACTCAAATTTCATACTAAACTAATCTACCTAAACATGTAGATTAGAAGCTACTTAGCAGCAAAATTATCAGAAAAGAAAGTTCTCATCACCCTGGGCAGTTCACACTAATAATTAGAAAGAAAAAAGGAAAGCTGTGAATTACAACGAACCGAGACTAAATAAGTGTCCATGTTGGATTAAAGGATTTGAGTTGTCAGTTTGACGTATAATGAATGTGAAAATCAGCCATTTAATTAAATGGTACATGGTATAATCACTTTGTTCTGCATTAAACGGCTTAAGTTATCTGAGTACATTTAGTTTAGCAATTGTTTACTATTACACCACCTCATGACTTCTCTTACACATTCTTTAGCCTACATTATCCCAAATCTGAAATCTGGATATGATACAGTACTGTTAGTTTGCTTGCTATTTTTTAAAATAGTTTATTGGTAACTATGGAAAATACAAAACTGTTTTCAATCATAAAGGGAACAAATTCCTAGATATGGTTGATAAAAAATAGTAAAACCCAGTAACATTAAAAAAAATTGTTAAGAATCATTAAGAACAAAGTAGTATTTTTCTTAGACTATTATATTTTAATAACTTAAATCTTAACAGCATTTTCTAATTGTATGCCTATAACTATAAAATATTCTTTTTTTTTAATTTTTGAAGAATTTGGATATTTTACTATTCAGCAAGAATACTAAGATCCCAGGAAACACATGAAGTTGAAATAGGTCAGCAGACTCCTAAGTCTGAAGGCTGTCATGTGACTAGATCATTACCATAGGTTGGTCTATGAAAAGAAGACAAAAATAAAAAGAGCAGAAGAGCGTTAAAAAGATCCTGACAGCTAACAGTGACTGCAGTCCAAAAAAAAAAAAAAAAAATCTTGAGGATATAAGGAAAGCTAAGGCTTGACTAGAAAGATTAAGTCACACAAATTTCATAAGGTTAGAGCCGTATACTCACTGCGACTGCAATTCTTCCAAGGACATGCTCTGGGATTTTTCTATATACATCCAAAGATCCCCCTGTAGAAATAATGTGTTGTATTACTGCAAATGAAACTACAAGAAAAGTGTACAGGGCTCATCCTCTGTGTATTCATTGTGAGAATATTTTTCATTCTTTTTTTACATCATACTTGGATGTCTAGTATAAAACCAGTTTTTACTTACAATTTTATTTATGACATAATCATACTTATAGATGAAGTATAATGAATATTTCTACCTTATTGCCAAGTGTACATCACATAGAGGTAAAATTGGAAGGAAACTAAGAGTACTAGTAAAGGGTAGGCTAAAAAGCTGTATTTTATTTAAATTAAATACATATATAAACCTATAAAGATTAATCTAATAATCACATTTAGGTCTCTGTCCTTTTTTTTTTTTTTCTCTCAGAATTTTCACATTAACCAAACAAATGTTAGTAGATATAAAGTGCAAAATACACATAAAAAATAAGTCCTGTCCTTTGCAGTGCAGCAGATGGATTGCTACAATGGATTTTCTGCTTCACCCTCAGCCTATGCACAACTCTCCTATGTACTGGAAAGGGCCCCAACCTCTGGCTCTGAAATAAATAGGACAGACCTTGTTAGCAGACTGTTTATGGTATATATTTTGACTAGTCTGGAGGTAGCCCGAAAGACTGAAACTTTGGCCTGGCCCTCATGGAGTCAAGGAGGAAGAGGCGGCTAAAGACTGAAGGCTAAAGCCATGTAAGGGTGATTGGATCGGAGTGTGCTTTCTGATTAGTTTGGGAGTTGCTAAAGGACTAAAACTTTGGTCTGGCCAGAAGCAATGCCCTTACAGAACAGGGGAGGAGTGATAGGCAAAGGCTGAAGGCTGCACCCCTCTGAAGGCTGATTAATTAGTATAGTTTCTGATTTGTCTGGGGGCTGCTGAAGGACTGAAACCTTGGTCTAAGCTGAACTGAAGAGATCACAAGAAAGGAGAGAGAGCAGTAAGCAAGGTCTGAAGGATATGCCCAACGAGGAGTTTCTTGTAGAAATTAACACCACTGAAGGCACTGGATATGTGTGTGTGTGGGGGGGGGACTGAGAAAACTAACATCTTGTAAAATTTTAATGTCCTAATCAAACAAAAGGAGCTCTGGTAGCATAGTGTCTAAGGAGCTTGACTGCTAACCAGAAGTCTGGCAGTTCAAACCCACCAGCTACTCCTTGGAAGGAAGGTTAGGCAATCTACTTCCATAGTGATACCACCTCGGAAACCCAAGGAAGGGTCGCTATGAGTTGGGGCCGACTCGACAGCACATTAATAACAACAACAATCTAACAAAAAGTGACAGGGCACACAATTTCAAATTCACAACTGGAAATGATAGCCCATTCAAATGAACAAGATAAGGGGAGAAAAATTGTACTTACGGAAGCCCAAACGATGAACAGATTGAAAAAATATATAATACCACAATACTAAACAAGCTCAAAGAACTGAAGAAAAACACAAAGAACTAAAGAATATCAGGAAAATGATGCATGAACAAAGTAAGAATATAAATAAACAGGTATGCAACAATACAATGCATTGCTGTGGAGTCGGATCTGTCTCACAGCAACCCCTCCTTGGGTGTCCGAGGCAGTATCACCATGGAAGTAGATTGCCCAACCTTCCTTCTGAGGAGTGGCTGGTGGGTTTGAATCACCAGCCTTCTGGTTAGCAGCCAAGTGCCTCAGGCACTACACCACCAGAGCTCCCAAATAAAGAGGTAGACAGTATAAAAAGAAACAAAATATGAAAGAATGGGTTAGAAAGACATAATAAAAGAAAATTGAAAATTGAAAAAAAATTATTGGAAGGATTTAAAGACAGATTTGAGCTCATAGAAGAAACAGCAATCTAAAAGATAAACTAATTGAAATTATGAAGGCTGAAGAGCAAGAAGAGAGAAGGCTCAAGTCTGCTGAGAACAGGCTAATGGAAACATGGAACACCTTCAAGAGAACCAATATATATATCATGGGGATCCCAGAAGAGGACAAGAGAATGAAAGGAACAGAAAGAATATTTGAAGAAAAGTGGCAGAAAATTTTCCAAATCTGACAAAGGACATGAATCTACAAATCCAAGAAGCTCGACAAACTCCAAGGAGGATAACCCCAAAGAGATCCATACTGAAACATATTATAATCAAGCTCTAAAAAACTAAAGATAAAGAGAGAATCCTGAAAGCAGCAAGGGGGAAGTGAACAGTCACATACAAATGATCCCCAATAAGATTAATTTCCTCAGAAACCTTGGATGACAGAAGGCAACAAAATGACAGATTTAAAGTGCTGAGATAAAAGAAGTGTCAACTAAGAATAGTCTATCTGGCAGTACTGTCCTTAAGAATGAGGATGAAATTAAGACATTCTCAGATGAACAAAAGTTGAGAGAGTTATAAACGCTAGATTTTTCATACAAGAAATGCTAAAGGGAGTCCTTCAGATAGGAATGGCCACTAGATAGTAACCTGAAACCTACAGAGAAAAAAAAGATGTCCAGTAAAGGTAACTGCACGGCAAAATATAAGAGCAAGTTTAAAAATATTTTTGGTTGGCAATTCTAGTTCTTATGGCCTTCATCCTCTGGAATGACAAGTGCATAAAAAAGTATAAATTTATGTTATAGAACACATAATTTATAAGTATTTATGCTACATCTCATAATGTAGTAACAAGGACATATTACTGTTTTAAAATACAAGCATGTGCTGCTTAACGTCCATTTGGGAAACATCAGACCACATATACGTTCATGGTCCTGTAAGTTTATAATAGAGTTCAGAAATCCAAAATGGAGAATAGGACATGTGAGATGTACTTTGCTAAGTAAGGTGATCTAATCTGTCTCCCACTTGCTTTTCAGGTCCCATGTCTGCCCTGGTCCTGGGGAGGTAATGGGAGGGGGTCTCAGTGCCCATTCATGCCCCTTGCACTTGATGCAGGTAGAGACTGCTCAGATGCCACTGGAGCTGCTGTGGCTGTTGGCCCAGTCTGCCTAGGTACCCTGCACATGATGCCTGGGCCCAAGGCTACAGCTTTTCTTATGGTGGAAGCTGCTGAACAGTCCAAGTGTGGTGGTGGCAGAAGGTGAAACAGGAAAGATGGTTGGGAGAGGAGACAGAAGCAACAGAGGAGGGGCAGTGGGGGCTGGAAGAGTTTAAAGCCCATATAGTACATCTGGGAAGGCAGGCAGGGAGGAAGGAAGAGTAGGGAGCCAGTGACAGAAGGGCCTACTGGACACTGAGTGTGCACTACACCAAGCAGGCAGGGACCAGGCACAGCTCTCAAAAATGGGGCAGTGACCCTGTAGTAACAGCGATGGTGAAAGCCAAAGTTTTTACACAGTCCCTTAGCACAGATGCAGTAGTGTGGGTCCTGGGTCTGCCTGGTGACTGTCCTGTGCACCTCTCATCTGTATATAATATGGTGTTTGCATAACGTCCAAATCATATAATATCCTATTTAACAGAGTGTATTGTGGACATCAAGTGACGAATACTTGTACAATTAAATTTATACTGCAAATATGAACGTTTTTATAAGTCAAGCTTTCCTAAAGCTGAACACCAGATAAAAAGAAATAATTTTTCTTATAAAAATACTGCAAAATTTATACATATAAATACAGAGAGAGAAAATGCACATGAGTGGGCTACTGCCTATCTTTTTATCCTGTTTAAAGAATGAAGAGAAAAATGATTGCTCTTTTATGTAACTCTTGCTACAGTTTCCAGATTCTGACTCTTGTCAGGCTACAGACTGTCCCTGGCCAGTTTCTAGTTTCTTAACTAGAAAATTATAATGTAACTAAAACCTAAGCTTTGGCTCTAGTTGCCACTGAGAATAATGAGGTGAAAAAGTTACTTATGCAAGGAACTGAATCATACTTATTCACTAAAATAGTATTTTTAGTATAAACCAAAAGACAAACCCACTGACACTGAGTTGATTCTGACTCACAGTCACCCTATAGGGTTCACAGCCCCATAAGGTTTCCAATGCTGTAAATCTTTATGGAAGCATATTGCCTCATCTTTTTCTCACAGAGGGACTGGTGTGTTCAAACTGCCGACCTGTGGGTTAGCCCACCCAGTGCATCAACCACAGCACCATCAGAGCTCTTAATTTTTACAAGGATAGATGTAATAAAAGTGAAAATACAGCAGAAAAGCATTTTATGTTCTCACTGATTTTTCAGATTAATTGACTGTTGCAAGATAAACAGTCTCAAGAAGATCAAGTTTACACTTTGGTGTCTGGAAGACTGACAAATGTAGCTTTATCAAGCCAATGCCTTATGAAGTTAATGGATCAATCTTATGACCTTATCTGACAGATAGGGAGAAACTGAATACCTGAGAGAAGAGTCATGGCCATGGTCAGTTGATGGCAGTGCTTAGATAAGACCTGAGCCTTTGAAATCACAAAATTGCAAGACTGAGAGGTGAAAACCATACCAGTAAGAAATCCCAGGAGGAGATTTAGTTTTACACAGAATATAAATCAGGGCTTAATTAACTATATGGACAGTGGTTTCAAGGAGCTAGAACAATAAGTCAAAGATTATATCATTAACAATAAGCCAAAAATAAATACCATGTTGAGGTAGTTCACTAGTTTTTGAAATACAACCAGCCATCCGTATTTGCAGGTTCTGCACCCATGAATTCAACCAACCATGGATTGAAAATATTCAGGGTGGGGGTGGGGAGGAACAATTAAGCAGTCAAAGCAATCCCTCAAAGGCTAAAAGGCAGGGTAAAGTGCTATCTACATAGCATTTACATTGTACTAGGTATTGTAAGTAATCTAGAGACGATTTAAAGTATACAGGAGGGTATGTGTAGGTTACATGTAAATACTTTTATATAAGGGACTTGAGCATCCATAGATTTTGGTATCCACAGGGGTTCCTGGAACCAATTCCCCACAGTTACTGAGGGACAACTGTATCCCTTTAATCTCAATTATTTCCCATTCTCCTTAGCCATCCATTTGGGTAAATCTCTAGAT